AGGGTCATGATTGGGGTCATGGTCAGGGTTGGAGTAAGCATCATGATCGGGGTGAGGGTTGGTGTAAGTGTCATGGTTGGGGTCGGGGGTCAGGGTTGGGGTCATGGTTGGGGTAAGCATCATGATCGGGGTGAGGGTTGGTGTAAGTGTCATGGTTGGGGTCGGGGGTCAGGGTCATGATTGGGGTCATGGTCAGGGTTGGAGTAAGCATCATGATCGGGGTGAGGGTTGGTGTAAGGGTCATGGTTGGGGTCGGGGGTCAGGGTCATGATTGGGGTCATGGTCAGGGTTGGAGTAAGCATCATGATCGGGGTGAGGGTTGGTGTAAGGGTCATGGTTGGGGTCGGGGGTCAGGGTTGGGGTCATGGTTGGGGTAAGCATCATGATCGGGGTGAGGGTTGGTGTAAGGGTCATGGTTGCGGTCGGGGTCATGGTGGGGTAAGGGTCATGATTGGTGTAAGTGTCATGGTCGGGGTCATGGTTGGGGTCAGGGGTCTCTCAATACTCTTGGTGTATAGTCATTGTATAGTCCCTTCCCTCTTCATTTCTGAGCCCCGCCCCCCCATTTCCCAGGATGCTCCGCCTCTGTATCCACCAATCCGGACGCAGGACAGGAAGGGGATCCGGGTCTTGTCTCTCTTCGATGGGATCGCGACAGGTGAGCTGACACTCAGGATGAGGATTGTGTGCAGCTCTGACGGCGTCATATTTCATGTGAGCTCCGCACATTGTACTACTCCCCTCATCCTCCGGTCTCTGCCCCCGGCAGGCTTGCTGGTGTTGAAGGGTCTGGGCGTGGAAGTGGAGCGCTACGTTGCGTCGGAGGTGAACGAGGACGCCATCATGGTGGGCGCGGTTCAGCACCCGGGGGAGATCACCTATGTGGGCGACATACGAGAGATCACCGGCAGGCAGGTGAGTGATAACATGAAAACATCGGGACGGAGGAATCCCCTCGAGGGGTATGAAGGAGCGGCCATAACTGGAGCTCAGATTACACACACTGCTGAATGCATCAGAGGTGTGACCCCTCCCCCTGGATTCCCCATGATAATGAAGAGCACCGATATATCCCACAAGTCATTGCAGCATTATCGAGCTGCTGGGTGAAAGTTGAAATCGCCTTGCAGTGGGTGTGTCTATACAGTGGTGGATCGGAGGGGGGAGGAGCTCTGGTGGGTTTATAGATGGGGGGAGGGGCTGAGGTCAGGGGTCATCCATGGGTTACTCTTAGTGTTTCAGAAATCAGACTCTCGGGGGATGGGTCAGTCGTTACAACTGCGGGCTCTGAAATGGGTTGTCTTCCTCCTGTGGGGGCGGGGCTAGGAGGGGGATTCACATAC